CTCTCTCTCTCTCTCTCTCTCTCTCTCTCTCTCTCTCTCTCTGAAATTTGACTTCCTCCCTTCCCTCCTGATAGTGGACGTGTTTAGTGGTCGTAACTGCCTAGTGGTCTTGGTCCCTCTTCTGTCGCGAACTGGCTTCTGGGCCATCTTCCACAGACTCAGTTGACGGATGATCCCTCCGCCACTGTTCCAGGCCGTGCCAAGACTAGGTCTCTGCGTCCAAGTCGCTAGCCTCGCTCTTGGCCCCTAGGTCGCGGTCCAGGCGCTGCTGCTTCGCTCTGTGGTCCCAGTAGTAGAGGTCTTCGCCTCGTGATACGAGATGGGCACCATGGCCTCCACTGTTACGCCGTCCCTTCTGAACCTCATTTTGGCCCGGTTCTTGGCCATTGTGATCAGCCTGCAGCTTCGGGTTCATCCTCATTTCCTCCTCTCTAGCCCTTTCCGTGTTTATTTTTAATTTCGCCAGCTGGTTGAAGCGACTATAATCCAAAATAGCCTTAACCATAGGTCCCTCTTCTGCTTCCTGCTCCTCGTCTTATAGCCATGCAACCCATTATGATAGGCCATAGCCATACTCTCTCCGCTAAGGTCCCCCAAGCACAACGCGATCAGAGTCTAGCCACCCACACTCAGATAGCAGGTCTACCAAGAATGGCTAGCAATTGGACACTAAGCGGCAATCCCGATAAGCAAAACTAAAGCAACGTAACCTCTTACGCTCACTGATCTTGCGGGAGTGCTATCCTCGCTACTATTCTTTTATAGAGTTTTGACCGTGTCACAGCCCTGTGCTCCAAACGGAGAATTCATGAATTTTCAAATCAGCTAATGAAATAAAATACTATAAAATAAAATCTGGACCGATAAAAGTAAAATAAATTAAAATTGAAGTCGAGTACACCAATGACTTTGTCTGCAAAAACAATGGCCTGGCTCACAACACGGTCCCATAACGGGATGTCTGCCAACGATTTTCCTTCTCTAAGAGGAACCTTCATACTACCACTAATCGGTACCCATGTCTGATGGCAAGGAGGGGGTTGATGACCTTCCCCTGGGGGTGATAAGCCCGACGGGTCTTTCACTCTTGCGTCCCTGGGTGAGCCCGACGGCGACCACAACGATAGGTCGGTAGTGCTCTACTTTACAACAGGACGTCGAGCCTGTGTGGACCAAAGGAAAGTCCAGTGGCGCATCTCCACCCTTTTCTTGTGGGAGTGTCACCCGGATCGGTCTAGGAACGAGGTCGTGCACAGGACGAATCTAGAGCACTACTAAGGACTGTGAATAGGGTGCGCCTTGTACACCGCGGAAGGCCAGGACACTGCGCCCTCCGACATGATACCAAACCCCCGCCCAACATCCCCACTGGGCCAAAAAATACAGGACATTAGTTAATATAAAAGAATGATGATCATGGGCATACTCATTCATTTTCACGGCGACCAGTAGCGAAGTCCTCGTAATGAATTCGCGCTAGTAGTTTGCACTTACCGCTCCATAAGCATTTTTTTTTTTCTCTTGCAACACACTTTTTCTTTTTCCACAATACAATAACTCAGCGTGATCCGCGCAGCTACTTTCCTTTTCTTTTCTCAGTAGCGCGGTCCTCTTACTCTTACGGTATTTTCTCAATCTTAATCTTCATCGCCACACGCCAGTTCTTTTTCGCTTTTCCCTCGGTACTAGCTTCCTTGACACCATGCCTGAAGCACGTCGAGGACAAGGAAGAGGACATGGTGGTAGGGGAGGAAAGGCTCTTGAAGAGCCACCACCTCGTGCACCGTGCGAATTCAGCTTTGAGGAGGACGAGGACGAGATGCGAGGGTATGACTCTCATACAAGACCATATCCATGCCACTCTTGAACTGGCTGGTATGAAAGAACTCCATCCCCAGCAATGATGGAGTATTATCAGAAAACGTTTGAGGTGCGTCATGGCGCCCTAAGCTCTTCCTCCCCCCTATACTCCCTAGAGTTCCAGTTACTCTCATGGCGAGTAAGGCTTTAGTGACAATGCCCTCACGCTTTGTCCCATGCATGGTTTCTCCTCAATCTCAACTTAATAATTGCACTCTCTTTTACATTTTCTTTCTTCTTGCTTTACTCCAGATAGAATTCATGGCTATCTTCTATATCCTATCGCTTAAGCAGCATTGGCCGCGGGGGGAAGTCCATGATGTGCTGCGAGCCGGATTTGGGTCAAAGTTTTGATGAGGGGAGGTGGATGAACGGGATCGAGGGCGGGGGAGTGTGCAAAGGGGCGTACGTACCGAAATGTTTACAGTGCCACCAAACGGGGGTGCGCACCCTACGGGATGGGCATACGTGTGACGTTGATGTTGATGAACATCTGGGAGGTGAGCCATCTGATAAGTGAGCAAACTTTTTTTTTCTTTCTTTTTTGCATTTTGTTTTCTTTTGTTTTTGTTTATCAGGTGTCATTTTGCGTTTTTTTTTTTTTTTTTTTCGTTTCCTTGCGTTCATTTTCCTTTAGCACAACGCTGTCATTTTCGTACCCGTATTGGTAAAAATATATATATGTATATATATATAATAATAATTATTGTTATTATTATTATTATTATTTTTTATTATTTTCTTGCGTGCCGCGCCGCTATCGTTTTGGTACCCGTCGTCTCAAAGAAAAGCGCGTGAAAGCAAACCGTCATCGTTTCGGTACCTCGTTTCTGTCACACACACACACACACACATGCACGCACCTGCGCGCCCACCCACCCACCCACCCCGCCCTCCCGCACTCGCCCTTCCGCCCCCCCCCCACACACACACACATAGAAACACACACACTAATATTAATATTTTGAAGTTCGCTGCTAATTGTTGTAGTTGGGGTTTGAACCCACGTACAAATTTGAGAAACCCAACTACCCGATGAGATAACCGTCGAGGCAGATTGAGTCCCTGTGTGATTTTGGGGACTGTTTTTCTTTTAAGTGTATGCTGTGTCAGGCAACTGGCACTCCATAATGTGTCTGTGTCCAAACCCTAACCTTGTAGAGTGGAAAACCGACCGAATGACAAAAATGGAAAATGTGTCGATTCGCCGCCATGATGGATTTTGCAGCCAAAATAATTTTTTTTTTATATATGTTTTCCTAAAAATGTCATAACAAAATTTATGGTCTTTGAAGTTTTTATATTTTTTCTTATATTCTTCTAAGCTCAAAACATCATTGAAGGTCTAAGACTTTTCTGTTGGTCGGCACATGGCATAGCAACGAAAATGGAAAAGTGACAAATTTGTGTGGTGGTTATTTGACAGTCGAAGTGATTTCTTTATTTTGATAAACTATTTCTCCTGGAAAAATCGCAATTTAATCTACAAACCCTCCCATTTTTACGATTTTAAACGCATTTTTTTGACGGGGAAAAATCACTGACGTTAGGGTACATTTTCCATTCGCCCGCACGTCGAAGAGTGACAAAAATGGAAAACGCACCGAATTGGCGCAGCGACCATTTCAGCATCATTTCTTTTTCCCCCATATATTTTTGGTAGGAATATCAAGAACTAATCTACGGGCTCTCCAATATTTAGGATTTTCAGCGCACTCTTTTGAGCTGGAAAAATAACTGAAGTTAAGGTACGTTTTTCGTTGGCCCACGCGTTCCTAAGTGGCAAAAATGAAAAATGAACCAAACAACTATTTTAGGGCCGGAAATCTTTTTCTTTGTTTTTTTTATATTTTTCCTTGAAATCTCACGGCCTAATCTATGATTCCTAAAATTTTAGATTTTTCTGATTATTAGTTTAAGCGCGAAAAATCGTCAAATGTAGGGTACATTTACTTGTGGGACTGGACCCGCCGGTAAGCAACGGTCGTCGTCCTTCAGAAAAACCTCGCCCTAACTCACCGGAGGCAGGTTTTTAGGTGGCGGGCGACAGGTGGTTTAATGAGTAGGGGAGCAAGGCACACGGTCTCCACGGGAGCTGAAGCTGGCTAAGGGCTTCCTGGGAGCTGAAGTTAGCCAAGGGTATCACGACACCACTCTCTTTGTTTTGTTTTCTTTTGACAAAATGCTCCAATGTATTCGTGGGGAGCCACATGTGTTGTCAACCTATACATTTTCATCGCGAAAGTGGCAGGTGCATCTGGCCATGTTCTAGCGGGAAGTTCATTGTACACTTTGCGCATTTCTCAAGTGGTGTGGCAATGCCCTAATGGGCCCACGAAGCCTCTCTCTCTCTCTCTCTCTCTCTCTCTCTCTCTCTCTCTCTCTCCGTCTCTCTCTCTCTCTCTCTCCGTCTCTCTCTCTCTCTCTCTCTCTCTCTCTCTCTCTCTCTCTCTCTCTCTCTCTCTCTCTCTCTCTCTCCATCTCTCTGTCTCCGTCTCTCTGTCTCCGTCTCTTTGTCTTCCTCTCTCTCTCTCTCTCTCTCTCTCTCTCTCTCTTCCTCTCTCTCTCTCTCTCGCACGCGTGCGCGCGCGAGCGTCCTTCCCCCCCCTCCCTCTCCTTTCATTCTTTTTGTTTCGTGTTGACTTTGTAATAACATGTTTGAAGCTTCGAAAAAAAAAAAAAGTGTACATCCTGGCAGTGCTCACGCGTAACACACACACACACAGGTTTGTTCTGAGTGTAAAAACGAAAAGAAAAAAAGGTATGCTCTGCTACTGAGCACTCTACATGTACGTGGACTGTTCTTGGGACCAAATGCATCCGGACCGATAGAACACTTTGGATGCATGTGGACCATTACCAGATCCAATTAGATTTTCTGTTTTTTTTTTTTTTTCCCCTCCGTTCCTCTCCACTCTGTCACGGGTTCCGCGACACCCCCAGCCTCTTGAGAGAAGGTTAACAACAGTCGTATTTTTCATCACCACTTCAGGACACCCTTCACCTTTTCAGGATACATCTTACCTAAACAGGTGGTTTTCAGGGTCTTCGGACCTTTCACCACTTCAGGACCATTTAGGTCTGAAAAGTGAGAGTGACCTACGGGGACCTTCGCCGCGGTTATCAGAGCAGGGGAAGGGGGAATTATCAGCAGCATCGTTCAGGAGTCTGGAGGCCCATCTTGATGCTTCCCAATGGGGAGCCTCTTCAGTGGGAGTGGGCCCAGCGGATCCGCCGGGAGAGGAGCCGACACGCCCCCGGCCTGAGGCTGAGCTATGCGGGCAGGAGGAGTTGCACGCTGGAGAGGTTATTATGATAGAGGGTGATACTCCCCCTGGCACCCGAGCTCGAGTCCAGATGCGGCAGTCTTGGCCAGAGGGAGTCCCGGAGCCAGATAGCCAAGGGATTCCAGCGCCCCCGCCAGAAGCCACTATGTCACCCAGACAGGAGGTTGAGGCACGGGGACCGGAAGAGGGGTGGAGGATTGAGCCCCGCGTGTTCATTGACTCGCGCCTAGCCACACATGCAGCTGAGCACCCTGATATTGAGGTGCCTGTTCCGGTTAGGCCATCGTCAGGGCCAGCACACGTTGAGCCAGAGAGGGGCGCGCAGGCTCCAGCCAGGGAGGTCAGGGGAGTGAGAGCGGAAAGGGTGCCGAATGAGGCCGCAGAGGCAAAGTCTGCCAGGATACAGGCCCACCTTGCGGAGATACATGAGCGGAGGGACAGGATGGAGGCTGCAGGGATAGCGCCGACACCACCGGCTGACCCCAAGACGAGCAAGCAAAGGATTGATGAGCTATGGGCCAGATATGAGAGCCGAAGGGAAGCGGCTCGCCTGAGGTCACAAGAAGCAGGGCAGGTAGGTGAGAGGGCAGATGAGGCGATAGAGATTGGGGAGCTGGGATTTTCTGCCGCCAGAAGGGCCATCGAACGGGTGGACAAGAGGATACGGCAAGCAGCCACCACGTCCTTTCAAAAGTATACTCTGCTCAGTGACGAGTTGACAATCAGGACAGAAGAGGTGGAACAGCTAACTGCTCAGCTTGCAGACGAAAGAGCCGAAAACAAGGCCTGGAGGGCTCACCTGGAGGCAAAAGAAGCTGAGTGGGAGAAAAAGCTCAAGGAAATGTCAGCTGGAGTAGAAAAAATTTCGGCCACTAAGGTGGTCGATTGGACTGAACAGAGCAGGTATGGCATTCAGGGCGAAGGGATGCAGGGACTGTTTGGCCAGGGGGAGGCAGCAGAAACATCTCAGCAAGAGAAACTAGGGAAGGTTTTTCTGGACCCGGCCGAGGTAGAGGAGAGGAGAGAGGCTAATAAAGGAAGCTTTGAGTTCAAGGCTCCCACAGAGTTAGCCTCGCGGCAAGAGGCCCCTATTTCAGCAAGCGCTTCTATGGAAGCGCCAACTCAGGAGCCCCAGCCTGCACCGGCAGAGGAAGAAACGGTTGAAGAGTCGCTAACGATCCTTTTGGAAGTACAGGAAGGGACCCTCACTAGAGCGGTGGTGGCCCCTTAGTCTGAGGCACAAGGGAAAGAGTCATCACGCCTAGACGAGTTGGTAGCCGCCATGGAAGTAGACATGCCACCCGAGAGGCCTCAGAGGTAGGAGACCTCGGAGTACGTGCCCGAAATGAGGGAGTTGAGGACACAATTGGGCTCCTGGCCACTGGGACTGACTGAGGAGGGCAAGCCACTGAGCGACAGCCGCAGGAGGCCATAAGCCAGCCTACTAGGGCAACTACTCCCCAGACTTCGGAGCCTCGCGAGAGTGAGGAAGTAGCTGTGACGGAGAGGACCCAGGAGGACAGGCCACTGAGGTTGGATACCCTCGAGTACAAGCCCGAAGGAAGTGAGCAGCGAGGGGAGTCGAGTGCTCAGGGACTTGGGGAGAGGACTGAGGGGTCATGGCACCTACCTCAGAGTCATGAGAGGGACAGGGAGACAGGAGAGGCACTCCCGGAGTAAGGGGTCCAGAAAAAAGAAGAAGAGGTTCCAGAAAAAATCAGAGGCCATGTGTTTCTACTTTCTGGATGGCATGCATAGGGCCCTGGAATGCCCTAAGTTCCTCAAGGACAAGGCTGTCGGACGGGTCACTGCGAGATGGCAGAATGTACGATAGACGGGGTCGAGTGGTGGAGAGAGCTCCAGATGGGGGCATAACTCAGTTGTATAGGCAAAACCAGGAGGAGAGGAGTGAGTAAGGGTTGGGTTGCCTGTACGTCAGTAGGAGTTAGATGTTTTGTGCATAGACAGAGTAAGTTAAAGATATAGAATGGCATGAGTCAGATACGTGTGTCCTGGTTTTCTGCACGCAAATAAGAAATAATGTATAGTAGAGCTTTGGGGATTTTTCCTTGTCATGACTTGAGAGATGAGACTCAGTTGTGTGATGCTCGGGATATTTGGTTTGCATTTCTGTTTTTGTGTTCAGATTTCACTTGTATTCCTAAAAGTGTTTTAAGAGTTAAAACACTCGAGGCATGAGTCTACCGGAGATGAGGGGGGGCAGGGTGTTGAGTACCTAGTTTATGTTTTTGATAAACATATTATTCCTGAGTATACACTGAGTTGAGATTTCGAGGCTATTTCCCTTGTGTATGACGATCACTCTCACTCTCACATGTGTGTTTTTTCCTGATGTATGATGGCTTATGTGAGGCGTGTGTGACGAACCTCTCATATGCTCATATTTTGTGATTATGAATGAGTGTGAACTGTCTACTCTTCGGTATACTCGTGCGATCTGCCCATGGGCGGATGATAGGGCCGAGTATAAGGAGGGGAAGTGCAGTTTGTTGTGTGAAAGGACTGTGAGGATCCTAGAGGGTCCATGAGTCTTTGGGACTCGAATGCTTATTATGCCAAATGTTTATTGTTTAAGTTGTGCTGACGGCCCAAATGTTGGCCACTCGGTTTGTGTTGCTTTATGGTTGAGACGCCTTTTTGAGTAAAAAGGTAGGCTTATGTTTTTATTTGGGAGACCCATCTTCAGAAAAGGGAGATGTTTTACCAATGTCATGTGAGAGTTCATCCTAGAAAGAGAGAGATGGCTAGGAGACCTATTGAGTGAGGCCTCCTTGCATAAAAGGTGGTTAATAGATTTAATGGCATGAAAAGCTGGGTTTGGAAAGGTAAAGACTGACGAGAGGGACTAAGATTCGTTCGCCATTTGGTGGGATTTCCAGAAGGTCGCAAAATGGTTTGATTTTGAGAGATGTCATTAAGATGTGTGACCCTTTTACCCTGATCAAGTTGGGAGGTCACGGCCTTGTGAATCTGGCGGTGATTCTGTTTTGTGAATGTGGAGAGGTTGCCATGTCCCCTCCGTGTTGTCCCACAGAGGGCTGGTAAATACCTTTTATGTGGGACAGGTCTATGCGTAGTCCCGCAAATGACCTGTATTGTTGCGACACGTCGACCAGCCACCTGTGCTAATCTTAAGACATATAAGGAAGACCAAGCTAAGCGGTAAAGTTTTGGCACCACTAGGGCGTAACCCCTAGGGATGGCTGCTAGCCGGCACAACCTGGCCGCGGGCCCACGTCTAGCCGCGGGAGTAAAGACTTAAAGGGTGTGGCCGCCTAGGAGGGTTTTACTCCTGCGGAACGGCGTGGGATAGGAGTCGAGTCACGTGAGTCCTTTTGGGAAGTCCTGATTGAATGCTTATCAGGAGAAAGCCTATCGTGGTGCCACCTATGAGGGCACTACCACTGAAGTAACCAACGCGGTAGGCCGTAGATCTGGCTCGATCAACCACACTATGGTGGGCCAGGATGAAGACCTAGCACTTCTGTACTAGACTGCAGAGGAAGCTGGGAGAGATTTAAAGACACACATAAATAAGTGTCTAATTGTGAGGATTCTTTTTGAGAGGGAGGCCAAAATGCCTTCAAAGGTCTCAGTGAAGGCCCGCGTCCCTGGTTATGACCCTGCTTACAGGGTAAAGGCTAAGGACACCCAGCGAGAGGCCGGCGTCTGCCTAGGACAAAGGGGAGAGGACGATTATGAGGGTCTTTGGAACTTATGTTGTAGTACTGATGCGTAGTACACCGGCGTCCTAAGTGTCAGGACAATGGAGACCCAGGTTGAAATCCTGCAGCATATAGTTGTGTGGGCATGGACCGATGCAGGCCTCAAACCTGTGTCTGCCGGCTAATCGGATTGGTTCCTTCTCGTAAACATTTTGGGGAAGTGGAAGGATTTATAGCTTTTTGATCTTGCGAAGCGACGGGGACGTCGCTTAATATAGTCCGGTAAGTTGTCGACGCGAATACCCTCACAAGGATATCCGCCCTGGTTTTTGCAAGTGACAAAAAGGTCATTGGTTGAGGCCTTGTGAGTGTTCAATTCGTTACCTGTGTATGGGCTGGAGTTGTCTGAGTAGATAGGGTGGGTGGGCGCGCAACTTTGAGGTGCGTGTGTGATTTTACCCTTCTGATCGTATTGCCGTCATAGATCTCCGGCTTGACTTTGCATTCTTGATTGATTTAGACTTATATAAATTTTGGAAAGACACTTTTCCTACGGGAAGCGCTACCGAAATTTTCTTAGTTTAGTGGAGTTAGATTATATTTTGACAGGTGGCAAGTCTAGTAATCTATCACGGATGGGGGAGATTCTGCCATGAGCCTACCTTTCTTTGGCACTGCCTTCAAGATAGACCTACACATAGTTAACTACCAGTAACCTGGGTGAGACCATGATATGGAGACTATTCCCCATAGGACTTATAGGGTTAGTCTTGGACGTTGACCTGTCTTGTGTTACAGGCCAGCTTGATCGATCTGATTCAGGACTTGGACTAGATTAGCTTTAATCCCACGAAGATCACCTTCTATTATCACTGATAACAGGTCGGCTGCCGATTCGTCGGTTTACGACTCAACTCCAACTCGCCCTCAATACTCAACCTAAAAGGCTTTAGCCCTGGTGATTTTATTGTTTTGTTAAGGTTTCACACGGACTTTTATTGAATGGTCATTTAACAAAGATGCTGAGTATTTAATTATGGTCGGTTGGACAGGAGGCTAGGGTTTGCATGGCTAAAGCGAGGGGTAGGAGTATAAAGAGTGGTTGGGGTTGACTCCATGTAGTGCGTGGACCTTGTTTGATTCTTTGATGTGATTGCAGGTATGTTCTGTGGTTCGGACTTTGGATTTGACTGCCTGCGATCACACATATACATGTGGTTGTGAGGAGCCCCACTGTGATTGTGAGAAGTGATCGTCACATACTTATCCCCTTGTATATATATACATGTGTGTACCTATGTTGGAAGTCCGCATGGCCCAAGGGGTCACCGTATTAAGGGTTAAATAGGTGTTGAGGTTGGCAAAAAGCCCCCGCCTCTTGATTATACACTTCTTCTGAGTTCTTAGTCGGACGTTGGTCCTGGGTCGGGATTCAAGGTCTTTGTCCAGGACACCCCAAGCCCTAGGCTCTACAGAGAAGGGGCCTTCCCTCGCGCAGAGCCTATATGCCCTGTCCGTTAAGACACCCAACCCTGAGGGCCGAAATGTCGCGAAGGCTGAACGACATGTCCTTCAGCCGTTAATATCATGAAGGGTAACCCCTCACGATATATTCCTTCAACCATTCAATATCGCGAGGCCGGAACTGTGATTACCGCGTATGACTAGCATCACCGGTTGGTGTAGGACAGGCTTGCAACTGCGCAGCTTTATACCAAAGTCTTGCGCGCGACGTGTCGCCGTCGTAGTATCTAGAAATATGGGATCAAGAGATTCGTACATATGCATGAGTGTTCAGGATCGGTATAGGCCGCTGGTGCCAAGCAAAAAAGTCACCCAAGGTAGTGATTTTGGTATAGGGAGGCCTTCGGCCTAGTTTTGCTTTTTAGAGTTATCATGGTTGGACGTTGTAGTCCGTGGCAGCCGTCAAAGTCAAACCCCTTGACTTCTTTCCAGGCCCTAGATGATGGAGCTGGTCTCCAGGGCAATACGGGATGATTGCCACTACAGGTACAAACCTGTGTACCACCCACTCTCCACAGGGTGCACAAGAGGGTATGGTTTTCAACCGCACTTGGCGGTTGTCCAGCGTTGAGAGATTAACCCTCAAGACGCGTGTCAGTCGACACTTGAGTGTCGAAAACGACCCTCAAGATTAACGAGGACCGCACGAACATGGGTACTTCATAGTACGCCATAACTGCGACCGCTTGCGTATGCTTGCATCGCGAGTCGATATGAGTAGCCCCTTCATCCGCGCGGTTTTTACCAAGTCTCGCGCGCGACGCCTATCCGATTTCCGCGTCGGAGAGTCTAGGGACGACTACTGAAGGGACTAGGAGTGTTGTCGCGTTGTTTGATATGTGTGTGTGTATTTTATTTTTGTGTTCGTAATGTGGTGTATGCATGGTAGTGGGATACGTCCAAGTCGACCGACGACGAACCACGCTTGGGACCTCAGCCCCCCAAGATGTCGGTTCGCACACGGGTCCGATAGAGGCGTAAAACCGCGCGTACCCCCTATGCTATAGCGAACGAAAAACGCCCTCGGCTGGCCCACCTCTGCGATTGCAACTGAT